TGAATATATATAATTTTTAAAATTTTATTTTTATTTTTATTATTTTATTTTTATTTTTTATTAATTAATATTATTAAATATTAGGGATTGATGATGTGCCAGATGACTAGGATGCCATGTCAGCATTAAATAATATTGTTTTTCGTTCAGGGTTTTATTTGCCAATTTTTAAAAGTATAGAGTTTTAATTGCCAATTTTTAAAAGTACAATGTTTTTTTGGATAAAAAAAAGTATAGGGTTTAAATTGAGACGAGAGAAAAGTACAGAGTTTTAAATGGAATTATCCCTTTTTTTTAATAATATTTGGCCCAAAAAGGTTTACAATTTATGTACTTAAAGTCTTAAATTGCATATATCCATTGGGAAAAGGGGAAAACAGATTATCTTCCCACCCATTAAGCAAAGCTTCCAAGAATCCACCTTTCCCTCTTTTCAGAAAAGAAAGAATTTTTTTTCCTGTAGCTTTCTCTCGTTTTCCTCACTTTCTTGTGATTTTTCTTTTCTTCAGTGATTAGTGCTCTTCTTGAGATGTGTCCACTGTAAACATGGGTTTTCATGAAGAAGTGTATGTTCATCCACCAAGCCCAGATTCGAATTCCCATGTTGACCCCATAAACCCTCATTCCTCTTCTTCTTCAGCTCCGGTTCCCAACAATGGCTACAATGATCCAGGAATCAAAACCCTTTTGAAAAAAATGATCTTTGATTTGGGTTTCTCTTGTTTCCTTCCTCCTCTCACCGGAACCATCTCTCGCAAGAGCTCCGGCGAAAATAACGGCGGCGCCGACGAGAACAAGGCGTGGCTGTTGGCGGAAACCGGACCGGAGCTTATGAATCCGGACCCACATTCCGTACACTCTTCGTTTAGGTTCAGTCTTTGCTCACAAGTGGAGCTCGAGAAGATGAAAATGGAGGATTCATCGTCCTCGTCCTCGTCGCTGTGTCGAAATATGTCGGGTTCTGGGTCGGCGACGGTTCTGCTGGTGAATCTGGAGAATGGGTTGAAGGAAACTGGGAAATCGAATGAGGATACGGAGTGGAAGAGGGCTTGGACGCTCGAAAAGAGTATTTCTCCTGTGTCGAACTGCTTGGTCCGCTTCAGCTATGGTGAAATTCGCTCTGCGACTCGTGATTTCTCAAAAGGTAAACAGAAGCAGTCCTCCATTTTCTGTAGCAATCGATTATTCTCTGCAAAATCTTTATGTTATCTCCGAGTTTCCATGTCTGAAATTCTCCGTATATTCTCGGAATGGCTTGATCTGTGTGGTCTTTGAACTAAAGATTGAATTGGCGAAGTTCATGTGCCTTATTCTGTGGAAATGGATAGGGAGAGTTCTTGGAAGAGGAGCTTGCAGCTATGTCTTCAGGGGTAGATTAGGAATTTGGCGCACCCCTGTGGCCATCAAGAGACTAGATAAGGAAGGCAGAGAAACTCCGAAGTCATTCTGCAGAGAGTTGATGATCGCTAGCTCTCTTCACAACCCTAACATTGTACCTCTTCTAGGGTTCTGTATCGATCCAGACGACGGGCTTTTCTTGGTCTACAAGTATGTCTCGGGTGGCAGCCTCGAACATTATTTGCACGGTAAATCCATCTTCATAAGCTAGAGCAAGATTTCCCGTTTCTTTTCTCGATTCATGTGTTTCTTTTTCTTGCGCAAATAACTCGGAATTTCCCCGCTGCTTCCAACAGCGAAGAAGAGGAAACATGGCGTAAAAAGCTCCCCGAGTCTTCCTTGGTCAGTAAGGTACAAGATTGCATTAGGAATCGCTGAAGCTATAGCTTATTTGCACAATGGAACAGGTAAATGTGTTGTGCATAGAGACATCAAACCCTCCAACATTCTCCTTTCCTCAAAGAAAAAGCCAAAGGTTAAGCCATCAAACTTGTTTTTGTTTCCTTTGGCCATGATCTTGAATTTGGTTTTGAATGGAATCCTTTAGGCAATTGTTCAATCATGAGAAGTCTTTCTGATCGAAATTTTCTGGTTTTGGTTCAGTTATGCGATTTCGGTTTAGCTACTTGGACGGCTGGACCTTCTGTTCCTTTCCTCTGCAAGACAGTCAAAGGCACATTCGGGTATATATCTTAACGGGCTTTTGCTTTGTTTCATAGAGATTCCTGGAACTCTGTCTGAAACATTTTCTGCAGCTACTTGGCTCCGGAGTACTTCCAACACGGTAAAATATCAGACAAAACCGATGTTTACGCCTTTGGGGTCGTGTTGCTCGAGCTACTAACGGGGCGAAAGCCAATCGAAGCAAAGAGACCATCTGGGGAAGAAAATTTGGTCATATGGGTATGTTAGTTCTTACACATCTCTGTAACTAGCTATCAAACTTGTCGTTTTCCAGTTGTAATGGAATGTAATTTGTTCCCAACCTGTCTCCTAACTTTCTTGGAAAGGAAAGGAACCTTCTTTGCAAGATCCTTAACTTCTAACCAAGAACTGTGATAACTGAAGTTACTTCAGTGAACCTGAACTGTGGGAATGCACTGATGATCCGTTCTGACAAAAGACTTGACATTTTTTACGGGTCTGAATTCCGCAGGCAAAGCCCTTGTTGCATGGAGGGATGGAAGCTATGGAGGAATTTCTCGATCCACGGGGCAAATGTACGGGAAAGAACTTGGCTCAGATAAACTGGATGATGAGAGCTGCTGCAGCATGTGTGATCAACGAAGAAGCTCGAAGACCCGGGTTGGAAGAGATCGGTATGATTCTCAGAGGCGAAGAAGGATTAGAAGGGATGAATTACTCGGGTCGGAAAAAAACCAATCTTTCGGGTATTATAGATTGTTATACGGAATTGAAAGAGACAAAATCCGAGATAAAGGGTCATCTGGCTCTTGCCATGCTCGGAGTTACAGAGTTTGAAGAGGAAGATTATGTGTGCGGAGGCAGGTAAAAGGCGCCAAGAACTGCTCAGGAACAAGACTATGCAGATGAAGAAAGCTTTTGGTTGTGCTCTCATGGTAAATTTTTGGGAAATTGTAAATAGGTAGAAGATTCATTCAGACAGAGTCTGCGTAGTATGGTCACTGATTTGTTGTGTCCGTGTAAATGCTTATGGTCGTTTTTCTTCTAAATTATGGAAAACCCGGTTTAGCTTTTTATTTTCCCGGTTCGGTTCTTAAGAGAAAGCTGGTTCTCTTCTTGGTGGGTTTTTGAGCTTTTCCCGGTCCCATGTATATGTTGTGTAATTCGGATGGGAAAATGTTAAAATGTTTGTTATTTAAATTATATAATTTATACATATTTATATCTATATTTTATGGATTTTTTTTAGAAAAATAATCTGATATATTTGTTTTAATGTAAAATAACTGGAACTATTTATTTGTTTGGAAACTATAAATTATTAATTAATAAAAAAATAATTCATATGTTTTGATATCAGTTTTTATAATTAGTTTTTTTCCTGTAATGGTAAATATGTTTTTGAAAAATTGTGAGCGAGTAAATTATGTTTTGGGACGAAAATATGAAAGAAAGAAATTATAAGAGATTATATATATATATATACATGCATGTAACTGACTGACCAATCCGCGTTTTCCTCCGTTTCTTTATTTTCTGTCCGTTACTTATACACTTCGGTCAACAGATTCCAAGGAGAGACGACCATTTCATCTTCTGGGCAGAAACAGGATCAAGTCCTCTTGCAAAGGCGATTTCTCGAAGAAGGAAGAATCAAGCAGCAGTTATGGCGGATCAGCTCACCGACGATCAGATCTCTGAGTTCAAGGAGGCTTTTAGCCTCTTCGACAAGGACGGCGATGGTTCGCTCCCTCTTCCTTCTCGCTTTTTGTTTTTTCGATTTATTCCTCGTGGATTTTGAGAAGATATTTAGGGTTCGTTGTTCCGATTCCGTCTTTGATCGGTCCCTGAGGCCTTCGATTCGGAAGTATTTGCCGTTGATTTGACGATAACGCTTTGGAATCGCGTTCTCGACATTTGGGTTGATGGTGTCAGTCCGGCAACGCTTGATGTTTTTGGCCTATGATTGAGCCATTGTTGCGTTTTGGCCTTTGGCTCAATGTTTTGACCCTTCCTTTGATTCCCCTTTCTGTCTTTGCTGCTTCCTTTTTTGTTGGCCTGTGTTTGGGTTGATTCGCTTTGCCTTAGATATCGTGTTTCCTCCGTTTATTATCATCGAGATCCAGTTTTTTCGTCTGAAACATTGTGATCGGGTGTTTCTCTTATATCTTAGGACAATCTTTCTGCCACCCCAGATCATTGTAGCTTCACTTCCCTCTATATTTCCATGGGCGATCCATACTGATTTTTTCATCCAAAGCCTGATAAATGTTTATCCTTTCTAATTGTTTGGTCATATCCTCTATGTTTCTTCGGCGTGATTGATGGATGATTATTACCATACTGGAATGACATATTGGTGTGCCCTGAATCCTTACATGTCACACGGTTTCGTGCCAAGCCGGATTCTTTCATGCAAAAACCAGTGCTCATGTGTTTCCTTTCGTCATTGTGATTTTTTGAATTTCTGAGCAATTGTTTTTGTGGATCAATACCCAAAAGGTCTTTATTTCCTCACAACTATGAGACAGAAGCTAGCACGTTCTATATTTTTCAGCTCCTACCCACAAATTAGATTTGTATTGTGACTATTGTCAAGTGTTTGTTTTACCTCTGCATTTTTGACAAGGTTAGATCAGATGGGTTCTTGTGTATTGCCATCAAGACTTCACCACACGGAAGATTTTGCTTTACATAGTGCGAGATATTTCTTGATCGATAGTAATGCTAAATGTACTTGTAGTTGTATGGATTCAATTTACATTCAAATGTCTTCAATTTTCTGATTGGTGGTTTGTTTTTTCAATCTATCTGGTAAAAGAAATCCATGCTTTTCTTTTGTTATCTTATTCTCTTAACTGTGTTAAACAGGTTGCATCACCACCAAGGAGCTTGGAACAGTGATGAGATCTCTCGGACAGAACCCAACAGAGGCAGAGCTCCAAGACATGATCAACGAAGTGGACGCTGACGGCAACGGAACCATTGACTTTCCCGAGTTCCTAAACCTAATGGCTCGTAAGATGAAAGACACCGACTCGGAGGAGGAGCTGAAGGAAGCATTCAGGGTCTTCGACAAGGACCAGAACGGATTCATCTCCGCTGCCGAGCTCCGTCACGTCATGACGAATCTCGGGGAGAAGCTAACGGACGAGGAGGTGGAGGAGATGATACGTGAGGCCGACGTGGACGGAGACGGCCAGATTAACTACGAAGAGTTCGTCAAGATCATGATGGCTAAGTGAATCATTATTGATCAAGCAAAAGAAAAAGGTTCTTATGACACTTCTTATCCTATTTATATAAATGGATTTCTCTAGTGCTTTCAAAAGCATCTCTAGGAGTTATCAAAAGCAATTTTCATGAATTTGGTCGAGTGATTTAGCGTTTTTAACAGACTCTTGGAATTTGTTGTTGTTGTGACGTTTCTCTTGTTCATATGTGGATTTTCTGTTGCAGAAGATGAAATTTGTCGTAATATTTTTTGTTTCTAAGTATAGAATTTTCTTGGGTGTAATATTTTTTTGTGGTGATGATAATGCAACAAAAGTTGGAATTTAATTTAAATTCGACAAAAAAAAAATGTATAAAAAGACAAGAGAGATTAAAAGAACACAAAATATCCCAACCTTATCCAACTCCAAAACCCCTTCTTCTCCTTCATGAAACACTAAAGAAGAAATGGCGCTTTCGAAGTCACTGGTTACACTGCGTTTCATCGACCAGCTTCACAGCCCAAACCCTCCACCTGAGACGGAGGATTCAAGATCAACACCGACTAACATAATCACCGAAGGAAAAAGAGGGAGGAGGAGGAGAAATATAGTTCTCAGCATTACAGGAACATCACTTGCTCAAGTGTTCTTCTCCCACCAAATCTCTTCCTCTTCTTCTGCAAACGCCATCGATTTCTCGAACTTGATTCCAGAGCCAGAGCCCGAACGCACTCTCCAGAGCGCACAGGAAGGGATAAAGAAAAACGCGGAAGGTATTCTCGGGACGGAGGAGATGATGACGGAGGAGAAACGGTGGAGAGAAGCGCAGAGAGAGCTGAGGAGAAGTGCGGGGAACATGAAGCAAGACATGTACATCATCATCCAATCCAAACCCCCCAAGGAAAGGCCTCTTCTAAGGGCTCTTTACTCCAACCTCTTCACCACCATCACCAAGGTTTTGTTCAATTCCATGCACGTATACATGATTTACATACATTTATATTATAGAAGGAAAAAACTTTGATGCTAATATAATGTTTTGCATTCACATCTATAACCAAGATCCGAAATAACGTACCGAAAAAGGGTTAGCTCGATTGGTGATTGAACATCTTGTTACATAAAGATCAAGACCCCTGATATATGATCTTTCTCTTATCTAGACAAGATCTTAGAATGTTGCTAGCTTCTTTAGAATCGATACGCTTATTCAAATTTCCGATTGCGTTTTTGACCGATTCACGTGTTTTTTTTTCGCTTTCCAAATCGGGAAAATCGCAGTTGGATTATGCGGCAAGGGACGAAGATGAAGCTAAAGTGTCGGAGTATTATAAGATCATTGCTACGGTTCTTGATGATATTTTCTCTAGGATTTAAGTCTTGAGTACACTGGTTAAGGTTGTTGTCTCGACTATGAACGTCAATACAATTTATCTCATCATATATGATTCATTCAACCAACCGGTTGTATCCGAACCGCAAAACTTGGACAAATTCACTTGAAACATGTATGTTTGGTCTCAAGTTCCTCATTTTTCTTTTGTAAATCCAAAACCCATTAATGTCACAAGCATTTGCTACCCAGAAAACCCAGTTAAGAACATTGACATTTCGTCCCAAAAAAAAAATTACCCTCAAAAGACCCGTGAATGGTTAAAACGAAAGTATTTGGGTTGTTTTGTAATTTAGTTAACATTCTTGGGACGCTTTTGATATTTCCGTTAAATTTGTTTCTCATCTGGCAATGAAGAAAATATCCTCCTAAATAAAACTAAAACCCGTCATACACGCTTATTGGTGGACTTCAGATTCGATTTGGTTATTTTCTGATTTAAAACTTTTTTTTTTTAAATCCAAAAACCTATTAATAACACAAGCAGTTTCTAACAAACAGGATTATTTTCTGATTTACAACTTTTTTATTTTTTAAATATCAACAAATTGTCATTTTCATCCATAAACAAAACCTCTGAATGGTTAAACCAAAGTATTTGGGTTGTCTTGATATTTTCCTAAAATTTGTTCCTTATCCGTAAATATAAAAATATCTTCAAACTGAAACAGACACGCCTTAGCTGTTATTTACCCTTTTCCGCTATCTTTACCTATTTTTTCCTTTTCTCTTTTAAGTAAACGGAAAGACAAAAAAGCCCTGGAGACCTGTTTACGAAATGGATTGGTCTGTCACGTTTGAGTTTTGTAACAGTCTTGTCAGTTTAGTATTCCTCTTGGCCTGAGATCTCTTTAAATATCGCTCTCGTTGCTAAATTGTTGTGTGTTTGTGCTGGTCGGTTCATCGTCTCTCAGGAAATCGCATCTCTCTGCTTAGAAAATTTCTGGTCCGCAACTCTTTGAAAGCTCCTCAAAACCCTAGCGAATCCCTCGATTTTCTCCGATCTGCGTTACTTGTGGTGGTTTTGTTCCTTCTGTTCAGGTACTTTGAGGTATTTCACTGTTTTTCGATGGTTCTTCTTCGTTAGGGTTTTCCTCGCTGGATTTGGTTGATGGTTCCGTGTTGTTTTTCCTCTTCTTTCCCAGAGATCTTCAGTTTCTGCTTTAGATTCTGAGATGGATTCCGTGGATTTTACGATCTGTTGATCTAGGGTTTTGAAACCGTGTTTGTGATCGATTTTTTTCCTTTGTGATGTGATTTTTTTTGTGCTAGCGATTTGGAATTTTCGTAATTGTAGCTACGTATAGGATTTTAACCTCCATACCGTCGTTTTCTCCTCAGAGACTTTGGTTTTTCCGTTCGTTTGTTGAAGTTCCTGATCTGCCGAGGCACATGTTGTGCTTTCTGTTTTATCTGTTTCTCCGAATGGAAATCAGTGTTGTTCCATGGCTTTCTAGAAGGATTTCTCTCTTTTTGTTTGTTATCTTGTCATTAAAGTGACACCTTACACAAACAATCGCGAGGCTTTGTGGTGGGGGGTTATGAGCATGTTTCGAGCATTGTGTTACTTCGGTATTCTTTGCATCACAGGGAGTATTTAAGACTTTACCATCCATAGGTTTTTTTCAGTTGTACAAGAATTTGGCGGCGCCTAATTATTCTCTACCTTCCCTTCTTGTTCGCAGGTTGTTGAGATTCGTTTTCTGTTTGATCTAAGCCAGAAAGCATATCTTTGCACCAAGATGTCTGGATCCTTGAATATGACTCTTGATGATATGGTCAAGAGGAGTAGGAATGAGAGGTCTGGGGCACGAGGGAGGTCTCGCCGTGGCCGTGGAGCAAACATATTTTCCAGTGGTGGAAGAGGAATTGGGCCTGCTCGTAGAGGTCCTCTTGCTGTCAATGCTCGGCCATCATCTTTCTCGATAAACAAGGCAAGCTAAACAATTGGGATGTTGCATATATATGGCTGGAAATCCGCGTTTCTACTTTCTATGACATCAATTCTGAAGCATACCGAATCATACTACTTCTTAAAGATGGAGGATCCCTTTACGTTCTTTTGTTCTTGGTGAAGCTGGTTTTCTCTTGCATGCTTAAAGCCTTCTGACGACCTTTATGCATCCTTTAACATTCAAAACTTCTGTTTAGTTGCGGTTCCAGATATGGGAGGATACTGAATCGTCCCTGAAAAATACAGATTCCAATGGTCGTCTAACATGTCAGTAGGTCATGGAGATATCATTTTTAGAAAAGCTCCTTAGCTGTGCTGTTGCTCTATATGGCTCTGTTCTGAGGGCTTCAGCAGAATGCATAGATATGTTCATTGTACAGAAGTTCTTGGTTGCTGTATTTCACTTCTACTCACCGTATTGTTAAGCTTGAGGAGCTTCTCTAAGCTGATAGTTGAGATTAGCTCTCCCGTTGCTGAGCAAAAGGGTTACATGTGTTGCTATTGTCAGCAACACGTTTCTAAAGACCGCAAAGATGTGTGGCCTCTGGGGAATTCAGCTATTTTCTCAATGACCATTTACCTCTATACATTGCTCCACTGCCCTTACAATTCGCAAGAAGCTCATGTTGGCCTCCTGCTACATCTGGAATTTCTTCGGTGTGAGATGATAGTTTCAGTTCTTGATGATAGCCCCTTGTTATATGGAACTTAATGTTTGCCATTGGAGCTCTGACTGATAGCACCGTGCACTTTCAGTTGGTCGGAATTCCTTGTTTCTGCATTTCGTTTGGTTTCTTCTTCCCTGGTTGTTGACTGCTTGCTGGAGCTATTTGCTTTGACTGGTTTTGGTCCTTTCAGGCACATGGGTGGTTTCTCTTCTGTTACAAAATCCTTTAGGAATCTTGATTTGAAGTTGTACAAGCCTATTGTACTGACATTATCTGTCCGGTTTCAATAGTCTGTCCGCAGGGTTAGGAACTTGCCATGGCAGAACGATTTGTTTGAAGAAAGTCTGAGAGCTGCAGGCGTATCAGGAGTTGATGTCGGTACAAGGCTCTACATTACCAACTTGGATCGGGGAGTGATCAATGAAGATATAAGGGTATATATAGCTTGACTTTAACATTCTCTTGCATTCTAAAGAGTTTTCTGAAAATCACAACACACTGTGCAGGAGCTCTTTGCAGAGATGGGGGAGCTAAAAAGATACGCAATTCATTATGACAAATTTGGGCAACCGAGCGTAAGTTCTCCACTTCTCCTCTATAACTTATTCCCATCGTTCTTTTTCTATCCGTTTTTTTGTAGCAAGTTCATCTCTAACTGAGACATCACGTGAACAGGGCTCGGCAGAAGTAGTGTACATCAGAAGAACAGATGCTTTCCAAGCTCTGAAGAAATACAACAACGTGCTATTGGATGGAAAGCCGATGAGAATAGAGATGGCGGATTCCAACACAGAGGTGTCTGTCGCCGCTCGGGTGAATGTGACCGGTCTGAACGGAAGGATGAAGAGGACTGTCGCCATGGGGTATTCTCTCCGGACTTCTCCATATCCCCGAGAGTTGTTGTATTTCCCCGTTGGGTTAACGCCCGTTATTACTTACAGGCAAGGAGCAGTAGGAAGAGGAAGAGGTAGAGGGAGGGGTAGAGAGACTTTCAAGCGCATCCCGATCCAAAGCCAAAGAAGAGGAGGCGGCGGGCGAGGTGGCATTGGGGCTGCCAGAGGCAGAGGCAGAGGACAGGGTGGAGGAACCGGAGGACGGGGAAAGAAGCCTGTCGAGAAATCGGCTGAGGAACTCGACAAAGATCTCGACAATTATCACGCAGAAGCAATGAACACCTCTTAAAAGAAAACCCGAAAGCTCTCACGCACATCCTTCTATTTAGATGACTTTTAGCTTTGGTGCTCTCTTTCTCTACATGTGTAGCGTAGCCCTTTCTCCACATTCTCTGACTTTTCTGTGGATTGGCTGTTGCTAGTATCTGTGCTCCAAAGAACATGACCACTCGGTAGTTTAACGTTTGAAAGCTTTTTTTTTTTTTGTGGGTAATTGGTTTGAGCATTCACCCATGAATAAGTAGCCAATTAGTCTGGGTTAATTAACAGATATTTATAATTTAATCCGTCATTACCAATGCCATTGTATCAATCTCAATCTGTGTGTAAAAGACAACAAGCTTTAACTTCACAACTAAAGACAGAACTTGGAAAGGATCTTGTCTTATGGTACTTTCTTTTGTGCATAACTGCTTATCAAGACCTTTATGTAATGTTTTGCAAATTGACATCTTGTCTTGTCCACCCAATGTTAAAAAAAAAAAAAAATCATTCTGCATCAGCAAACATGTTGCCTTCAAACAGTGCTCTTTGGCAATTTGAACAAGGAAAAGTAAAAAAATAACTCAAATGTTTCAGATTGCGAGTACAAAATTGGATCATTACAGTGCGTCCTTGCTAATCTAACTCCAAATTATTTCTACTAATACACCAACCCCATCGGAACCTCACAATCAAAAGCTTTCTGATAAGACTCTTCAAAGCCCTCACAAGAAGATTATACTCAGAATCACAGTTAACATGTTCCACATTCCACAACTAAAAAACATGTCCGTTGTTAACCCCGAACTTGTAGAATTCATGGATGGCGCCGTTATGTTCACCGATGTTCCGTTCCTACCACCTCCGTGGCTGCACTCATGACGAAACAGATAAAAAGTCATCCAACTTTGAACATTTGATCCTTTTTTTTTTTTACTAAAAGCCAATGGCTTTGATGCTTAAATGGCAATAACTTAGAAGCCCTTTGGGTATAAAACACTTAGAAGTTATGAAAGTTTGAGTCTTTGAAGTTTTTTTTTTTACTAAAAGCTAATGGCTTTGATGCTTAAATGGCAGGATGATTTACCTTCCGGGAAACACACACGAACCATGACCTGAATTGAGTCAAAGAATAGATTAAGCATGAGCAAATAATTGTATTGAACGTTCAAAAGAAGTTCGATACAAGTTACCAGTAGCTTACTTGGATCTCTCGTCGTGATTGAAGCAACCCCATTGAAGTTACAAGCTTCAGGATCGTTCCCCATCCTATGATAATAAGTATCAAAGGCATAGGTTGCATGTGCAGCCACGTTATCCGGTTCATAGCAAGCTTCTCCTTGCTTTATCGGTGAACAATCTACCTTCCCTGGGCCACAAGCCCAGTCTAGAGCCGCCTGAAGCATTTTCAGGTCAGCCCCTTCCCCTGCAGTGCAGTATGTCTGGTTTGTAGTGTCATTTGCCAAAACCGAGCCTGAATCAGTTAACCGTAGTATGTAAACCGGGTGGCCATTCGCATCAAACAGCCCCCAGTTCTTCTCCGACATCGGTCCAACCTTCGTGTCCTCATTGTAAAGCTCGTAAATGTAGGTACTGACTGCGATTCCCGGATGCTTAGGAGTCCCTGTCTTGTTCAGAACATGTCTGATCAGATTGCTGTTGTATGTGTTGGCGTTCTCGATAGTAGCGTCTGGCTCATCAGAATCACCCTTTGAAGGCCAACCTGATTCTGTCACCACAACAGGAATGTTAGTGAAGTTGAGAAATTCCATGGCAAAATAGGCGGCATCAACCACGGCATCAAAGGCATTTGAGTAGTGAACGAGCGTGTTTGAGTCCACGGCTTCTTTGTTCGGAGGGATTGGTTTGAACAGGGCATAGTCTAGAGGAATCACACCATTTGATTGCATGTAGTCATAGTAAGGATACACGTTAAGCATGAGATACGAATCCGTGGACTGCAAAAAGCTCAGCAATGGGACCAAAACCGGATTCCATGAGCGGTTAAAGAAGGCTTGCGAAGGAGGAAAAGGGTCGAGGATTAAAGAAGTGGATAGAGGAGTAGACACTTTGATCCGCCCATCAAGATTTGACGAGAGTAGAGCCGAGTGAATGTTCTTGATTGCATTCACTAGAACAGGAGAAACATTGGGAAGAGTTGTCAGAACATCTGAACCTACAGCTATGGCAGTGATGTTCGTGGCAGGATAATGAGCGATGATATTGCGTTTGACCCAATTGGCCGCTGTGGAGTTTGATTGGCCAATGCCTAGGAGCTGATCGTTTGGAACAGAGACAACGACTTTGATGCCAGTATTTGCAAGGGCAGTTAGCATTCCCGGGTCAGTGTCATATAGCCGGATGTGTCTGATTTGCTGAGCTTTGAGGAGAGCTACAACTTGTGTTGGATGTGGCATGTCTGAGAGATCGGTCCCTATGTTCACTCCTATGAATGCATCTGCAATGGAGGAAAAGATGAAACACAAGATAAATATGTTAAAAACACGAACTTTGTGTTAAAGATCATAACTTTACGATCGTATAAAAGGCGGGATTTGTATCAACTTAAGAAGTACTGAAAGTGTATCTGCAAAGCCAAATGAAAATGTAAATACATAGAGGTAAACCAGATCATGGTATAGCGCAAAAGCATCACAGATTCACAAGACAAAACTGAATTTTCAAGACGAGACGCCATCTCATAGCCTAAATGCTTTTCCATTTGCACAAAAGCTAGCAAAGTCTAAAACTTTCACAAAAACAAAAAAAAATATACTGATATGATTCCAAATCTGTTGTAATCTTAGGTTCAAATCCTGGTTTCAGACAAATGGAGAAAACAAAACAACAAGATTTTCACTTTGCCATATTTTCATCTCTTCCCTACTAGATGACTTTGAACATGATATTTGAAGCTAAGTTTATCTATCAGAACAAAAGCACCACATAGTCACTTTGTTCAAATATACTTAAAACCTGAACTCTAGATCCATGGAGCTTGTTACTTTCAACAAGATTCGGTTTCCTCCACTCCACCAGATTTGCTACAAACCCATTAGGGAAATTTTTAAGTACCTTGTCTGAAACAGCTACTGCCTTGCCAGATTTCTGCTCTTTCACTAAACAAACAACTCAAGCTGGATAGTTTATCTTTCAGTAAATTATGGCATTAACCTCCATTCTTGATTTTTGGGGAAACATTTAATACTACCCACCTGACTGCCACTAATATGCAGCTATTTAATACCAAAACCTACCAAACCTAAAAGACAGATGAAGCCAAACCATAAGCATAGAACAAACCCTCCAGATTCAAGAAAGCTGACAGAAAAAAACCCATTTTTTTTGTAGTCATTAGGTATTCTAAATTGCTGAAATATCAGCTTATTTGAAAGACAAAACGGATTGAAACTATTTCTTAATGCCGGAATTTTACAAAGCAAATGTCCCTCCAAAGAAAACATGTGAGCTTCTTTGGTTCCAGAAGAACACACATGAAAGGAGATTTCACATCACTAGTTTAGGCAACAAGAAAAGAAACTCTGCAACAAAACAAGATAGAGTTTCTTCTCTCTTCCATCCATTTTGGGTCCTGAAACTTGATTTCGAACTCGAAACCCTTAAGATTCTAGAGCATTGAAGCACAACTTTCAGATCAGAAACACTATAATGAACTAATCTACACGGATATACACACATATACATGCACCCACCTTCATCAGATGAAACCCAAGAAGAAACTGCGGCAAGAACCGAGAGAAGAAGAAGAAGATGGCGATGAAGAACCATGGAAAGGGACAACCTTTCAGAATCTGGAGTCCGCAGGAGATAAGAGACAGAGAAACGAAATGGGTGTCTGAAATTTGAGACCTTGAGAGGAAAAAAAAAACCAGAGAGAGAGAGAGAGAGAGAGAGAGAGAGAGAGAGAGAGAGAGAGAGGAAGAGGGGTGTTGGGTTGGGGGTATGGTTTTCAAGGAAATAGAAAATGAGGTTTCAATAGAGGGAAAGCTGTGGAAATCTGGGGAAGAAGTACAAAGCAAAAGTTAGAAAATTGGCGATTTCGAGACAAAAAAAAAGATTACCGTGAATGAATGGACCGATCTCTCTCGTCTTCGGGTTTCGAAATGAGTTTGCAAAAAAATCCAACGGTCATTCTTAAATTTTAGAGCCAGAGGAAATCATAATAAATTATATATATATATATATATATATATGTACTATGTATTATTGTTGGTAAAAAAAAAATAATGTTAAAATTAATCTCAACGGATCGGTCTGTATCTCCAAATACCCTATAGTGCAACGGGATGAATTCGAGTTGGGTAATACGAAAGATTCGATTTTTTTAAAAAAATTAGTTTCGAGCAAATTTGGATTGTAGATAATAAGCGGCATCGATCTCTCCCCTGTTTATAGATATCTAAGTATTTGGAATACACGTATAATATCCGTATAATCTGATTATACGGTGAAATCAGAATTATTTAAATTCAGAATCTCTAAATTTTCGGAAAAATCAAATTTGGCAAGTACAATGCTTTTTTTCTGGGTAAGTAGCCGTTGCCCCTCTTAGCCTCTCTCTCTCTTGTTTGATTCTCTCTCTCTCTCTCTCTCTCTCTATATATATATATATATATACAGAACATTATCGATTAATTACAAAACAAACACCCAAAAATCGAAAAACAAAAGTGACAGCAACAGTCATTAAATTATCATGGCGAGACATCCCATATGGAGAGGGTCCCCTTTGGTCTCTCTACCTTTTGCTTCTTCATGGTTTATTCACAACGATTCATCATTTTCATTTCCAAAAAATGGTTGTATATAATATATATATATATATACACGTCTTTCCGTATGCATACATGCGTACAAACAAATCACTACGCGGGGTATCTTGAAAGAGGATTGCCCTATTTTCAAGGTACTATTTGAATCTTTGATCTCTCGTTAGGGATCCAGAATGGGTTGGTTCGGACTCGGATCGATCACGAGAAAAACTCTATTTCGGTCGAAATCATATCATCTTCACAAGTCGAATAAAAACATTATAAATATTTAAAAATAATAATAAATTATTTTAAAAAAAAAATCTGACTCGCGTACTGGCTCTCGGTCGGGTTTGCCTGTTCGGGCTCGTTTTTTTTGCGGGCTCATAGTTTTTGGCCCAACTTGATATATATATATATATATATTTAGAATATATATACATATTCACCAATACGGTACGGAAAGGAAACAACTATAGAGTTGAGTAATACTTATGGCACACTTAGAAAATACGAAATCCAACTATTTTTTATCTGTTTGGTTTTTTGTCAAAGTTTTGTTTTTTAAATAACATAAAAATTGAATTCAATTTTGTTTCATATCACTTTTATTGAAATTTATCAATTTCTGCTATATTTTATCGATTTTATTGAATAAATTAATTTTAGAACATTTAAGTCAAATTAAAATTAAAATTAGATTATATTTAATTCTATAACTATACCGCTAAATTTTATTTCAGCAAAAGTAAACTTAAACATCGACCACTAAATTTGAAAAAAAAATCTCAATCCAACTTCATAGAACATTTGTAGTTTTTTCCAAAAGAAAAAAAAAAGAAAATCGTTGAAAACGGAGAAAAAATTAGGGCAGCAAAATATTCACTAGATATGGTGGTGGAAAATTTGCGACAGCGAAGGCAACACAGCGTGACAGAGTGGGGAGTCAACGAACCACTGAACGGAACCGACAAAAGATTCCTTACGATCCCGTGAACCACCTTCTCTTCTTCTTCTTCTTCCTTTTTCGGCTCCTTTTCTTTCCCCTTGCTTCTGGAACAAGAGCTTTTGTTTTTGAACTAGGGCTTCTGGGTTTGCAAAGATCGATAATCTATCTGTAAATCTTCGGAAAAGCTCGATTCTTTTGAGATGGGTCTCTGGGATTCGCTTCTCAATTGGCTCAGGAGGTAGAAAGATTGCTTCTTGGTTTCTGTACTGTTTTACTTCTCTTTTAGATTTTCTTTTGCTCTTGTTTGGTTCCCGAGAAAAAGTTTTCCCGCTTTCATCATGCGGGTTAAATCCCGAACTTACTTCTCATTAGCCACACTCTGGTCAGGCCGTGTAGTTACATACCGCTACGTATTTAAGCTGCCGGGGATACAGGATGCTGAAATTGCTTTATGCCCTGTTTGTTTCTCGAGAAAATCTGTTTGTTACCACTGAAAATTCTGGTTCTGGGTTTTGTCAGTGAGAATCCAATCTACGCAAAAATAGGAAAGGAACTAGGAAATGGTAGTGATTTGTACAACCAGCTTCAATTGTTCAGTGTTTCTTCTCGTTGTTCAGTTTATCCATCTTCCATTGAATTTCTTGCCGTTAGGTAATGACTTTGATTCAAGACAGTAGTATCCATTATCATTGTATGATGTGAATCAATATGTCCTAAAAGTTCCAGTCATTATTTAACTGTATGATATAGATCTTTGGAAAGGGATTAAGAACGGGCTCCGTCTCCTTTAACTGCCCCAAGATTCGGGTATCTGTTATCAGGGATAGGCAAATGTACCATAAAATCTCATTTTCTTTTCATGATGTACCTGTGTTATGCCAGTTTGTTCTTCAAACAAGAGATGGAGCTCTCCCTCGTTGGCCTCCAAAATGCCGGCAAGACTTCTCTTGTTAACGTCATTGCTGTGAGTAATTCGGGAATTGGTTAGTCACTATACGTTTTTTTGATATGTTATGTCTTTTTTCCTTACCCCGCCTCCGTTCTTGCTTCTCTCAGACCGGAGGTTATAGCGAAGACATGATCCCGACTGTAGGATTTAACATGAGGAAAGTTACAAAGGGGAATGTCACGATAAAGCTTTGGGACCTCGGGGGCCAACGCAGGTTCCGCACCATGTGGGAGCGCTATTGCCGAGGCGTCTCTGCTATTGTGTAACTATCCTTTCCCCTTCTGCAAAATCTTTCCATATCATTGTGGAACATAGGTGTCTATATCATTTTAAAAGTTCTATGTAGAAATGTGAAACCTCGGGATTTAAGTACAACATAGGTTGTCTTTCAATTTCATGCTCTGGCCGGCGGTCTTTCGAGATCAGAAGAAACAACTCTTCCTCACAGTTTCTCTGTTACCAGATCACTCTAAATAATTTGATGGGTGTGTTCAAAATACCGCAGATATGTTGTTGATACCGCAGACAGAGACAATGTTCTGATATCGCGCAGCGAGTTGCATGATCTGTTGACGAAACCATCTTTGAGCGGCATTCCTCTTCTTGTTCTT